CCTATCTCTCCATAGATAGACTGTATATATAGGAACATTAAAATGCGCCGCAAGAAGCTAACTGAAGCTTTCCATTGGTGTCGACAAGTATATCAACTATATCAACTAATAAAGTCCTCTTCAAATGCCTCCTAATGCAACCGGAAGTAAAGTGGATAGTATATATTAAGAAGCATCTCAAAAAGCGAATAGATGAACGAATATATACGTCTCTGTCATGATTTAGTGATCGTTTCATTTCTGATCATTATTTTGTGATTGTTTCATTTCTCATCATGATTTCGTGGTTGTTCTACTTTTTATGCATTCATGCCTGGTTCTTTTTGTAGTGCAGTCATGATCACCGTTTCCTAACAGGAGGAATGCGTTCTAGTGTATAAAGTTCTGTATTTTCAGTCATTCACATCAATGGACAGTAGTTGAAGCTAGCAGTGCGCGTACTTACTAAATCGGCAAGTAGAGCCCTATAACATGCTATACTAAATATGATTATCAATGAACTCGAGGCACCTATCAAAAATCGTGACGGCCATTATAAATTGATGCTATATTGTCTTTTGGGAATTGTCAATGCACAAGGACAAATCAATGAAAAACAAAGTCTATACTTCACGACAACAGCACGAACCGTTTATTGGAATCAATACAACACAGGGAAACAGGCCAAGAGTTTCATGGAGGGTTTGCAAATACGATAACAAGGCCTGCTTGCAAAGAAGATCTAGGCTTGCTTGATAGCCAAGGGATCCTACATATAATTTTTTTCAATTTTTCAAATCACAAACTACAAATTAATCACGATTCTGTATTACAATCCTTCCGAATAACAATTAATGATAAGGATACAGACCTGCCTCGTTTGTTTTGGATTCCAAAACTCACAGGAATCCTTGTGCACAACTTTTTATCTCTGACTGTTTTAATTTCTCTATCAAACCATTATCCAAACGTATTACTACCATTCCTAGAACGTTTAATTGGGGATGATAGCCATCACACTGTTCACTCCAGAGAGGGATTAATGGAATGCAGATTTCAAAAACAACGTATGGTCAATCATGAACATCATCTTCTTAAAAATGAAAAAAAAGAAGTATGTTATCTGTCAGACATTTTTGCCTTTTCCACTGTTTACCTTACCATACTTAATTGCAACTGAAGGAACGCATTTGGTCCCTTTTTCCGGTGATGTCTCTTACAAGAAAAGCGATCGGTGATAGAAAAAAGATGGTTCTATACTATTTTGGGGCATATCATTCGAAAAGCACAACAAAAGTCAAAATCACATACACTGAGGATAAAAGTGTGAGAATGGCAATATCTTAATTTTGGTGGCAAGATTTTCCAGCATAGAATAAGCCATCCTGTGGGAACAGGCTTTGCCCCTCTTCTGACCGACTAGTTGAACTCATTTAAAAGCTTATCAGGATGGTAACACAATTCTAGCCGATCCCTTTCATTTCCCATTCAAATATATGATAAATATACGACGCTGTGGTTTTATTCAATACAAAGACATCGATCGCATGAAATTGACTCTCGGTATTTTCATAAGGAGCTGTAATCACAATGCTTTGTTAATAGTGTTATGTCACTTTTGTTTCCTTTCTGCTATGATGATGTTATTTAGGTCAAGACATGTGTCTGTCTAACGTGCTCTTTTGTTATCTTTTTTTGGTCCATATATGTATAAAAAGTATCGTTTCCGTGGCTGTGGCCGTGCTGTTAGAGAACGGAGGGATATGTCAGCTGAACAGCACACAAAAGCTGATAGTTTGGCATCACGAAACACCGTACACTAGTAGCGCTATAGCACGACGTGTCACGACAAACAGATCACGATCTGTATATCTTGTATATGTGTCTCCCTGACAGAAGTACGGCTGTTACGGGGAAATATAGGGAACCTCGAACCGCCTACAGACAATTGCCATTTCACTCTTGACATCGTAGTATGGTATCGACATTGTACGAAATTCAATAGTGGTCTTTATGCCACAGTACGAAGCGTGATTTTTATAAACAGAAGGAGTTTCTTATTTGGCCGTAGGAGCAGGCATGCAACGTAACTGTGTATATTGATAATGTAGCCGTATACTCAGATAATGAGTCCATTTGTGCAAATAAATACCCGTATATATATATAACGTAACTGTTCATATAATTTGTGTAACCTTATGTTTCGGTAATGTAGCCGTATGTTAAGGAAATGTACCCGTATGTTGAGATAATGTACTCGTATGTTTAGGAAATGTACCCGTATGTTAAGGTAATGTACCCATAGGATTAGGTAATGTACGCGTATGTTGAGGTAATGTGCCCACCATATACATGTATTTAGATAATGTAACCGCATATACTAGAAACGGTAACTAATCCATGCGGGAATATCTTCTGCTTGCCATCTGTGATAGTTCGGCTTTTGTATTATAAAAGACACTTTTTATATTTAATTGTTTAATCAGAACTTTAAGGTCATGATATCCCCTTACACGAGGTTATCCAATCTATAGAATGCAGTCATACATTTTCACACGGAAATAATAACAGTCCATCAAAATATACAACCCAATCAGCACAATAAACTAAGACAAATCACATCATCAAAAAGGGGAAGTTGCTGTGAGACAGACATAGGAAATCAAATACGTAGTAAAACTCCCATTCAGTTGCAGGCAAAGGAAACCAAATGTCAGTTCGGATTTCTTTAATGTTCCACACGTAGAAACACTACTACTCTGATCGCACAAGAGACACAAATTCATCGTCTATCTCGATCAAGCAGGCGTTTCTATTTTCCATTACCTGAAGCTGACTCAGTCACGTATAAGGGTAAGTTCCATCAGATGAACATTAAAAGGAAGTACAGGAATGAATGATTTAGTGAAGTAGTCAGTATGTTATATAAATGACGGAATTTTGTACAAGTTGTTCAAGTTTTGCTTGTGTCTTGTAAAATGTTCAAAATATATATGTATCCTGGTACCAACCATGATACTTACCACGACAACTTAGCACGAGGTAAGATATACAATCCACCAGCTAAAAATAACTGTAATATTCTAATTGACACTCAAAAAAAGACTAACACCAACAAAACCATTGCAAAAAAGAATGCTGTATTTCCACACCACAATAAGAAAAAAACCGGAATAGTTTGGCGTCAAATGGCAATGCTCCTTTATTGTGATTAAATCTTGCCCTCTTGTTGATCAGGCTTTTTAGAAATAATCATGAAGTGTTCTTTATCACATTAAGAAAATACCAACTTTACCAACTGTAAAGTACAAGAAGGGAATGCCGAAATGTCAACAAAACCATAACCGTTTTCTGTTGTCAAATTCAACTCACGTCCTCACATGAAAAACTCGATTAACAAATTATATGTAACTGGTTAAATGATAATATGTGCGTGCATAACGGAATAAATGCTTAAATGTATAAACATGTTAAATGTTATCATTGAATGTGTGTTTTACATATTAAATGTTATTATTAGATGTGTGTTTTACATGTTAAATGTTATTATTAAATGTGTGTTTAACATGTTAAATGCTAGTATTGAATGTGTATTTAACATGTTAAATGCTAGTATTGAATGTGTATTTAACATGTTAAATGCTAGTATTGAATGTCTGTTTAACATGTTAAATGCTAGTATTGAATGTGTATAAAAAAGTGCGCGTTTGACTGATGTTACACGCTATTTGTCGTCTCGTGTTATGATAACATTATTGCACGTTTTATCTTTAAATTTACGAACACGTGAATTAATTCGAATAACACCTGTTATGGTTGCAGTAAGCATGTCACACATGGATTGGACACAGACGAGACTTGTCTCATCAAACGTGGGAATGTCACACTTCACCACAGAACAGTACAGTTTTGATAGCTGGTATATTTCCTTGGAATATTACACAACCACCAATCGAGCTATATAGGTGCATGCTACATATGAATACCGTTCACTCGGTCATGTCCTCAATGAACCCGTGCAGATATACATCGGTAGTATATTCCTAATGGACAGAAAGTCAGCGTATCTCTTTGTCTACATCATGTTTTATCAGAAACCCTTTAAACACACGACACCATGGCTTCCAGAGATGATCATATGATCAATGTTCGCATTATAATATCACGCATGTCGTATGTATGTAGTAGCAACAGAAATAACAACAGTGTGGGTATACCTCAGAATTACTGTAAAACACGGGCAGCTCGACATTCATTGTGATACATTAGACACGAAAAAGGTCTAAATATGAACCCTGACAAAATATATACAAGGCAATAAACGATTATGAGTGTACAAATTGATACTACTGTCATTTTCGACGTGGAAGCATACATGGCAAGATAGCCTAGCATTCGTCAGGTTATAATGTTCAGTCTTTCTTCCCTGTAATTATTTTTCTAATTGCAATCAAAACGGACAGGAAATGCGTGAATACGTAAGTAAAGCTATTTGCCAAACAAAAACAAAAATGATAACAATTCGGCGAGTTGAAACAAAATAAAAATTGTCATTACGATGACACATATTACTGATAAGATTGGGGTATATTTTATGTAGGACAATAAAACCGTTAGCTCAACAACGATTCCGGTTACGGGTATTCCTACATTCGTAATGAAAAGTGACAGGTAATTCGTAACTTGAAGTCAAACTGATAACAAAACAAAATTAAGAGAACATTTCGGCGAGTAGAACCAGAAATCAAATTTACACATTGCAATGACATAACACTGATAAGATTGAGGCATTGCTTATGTAAGACAATATAACCTTTAGTTTAACAATAATTTTGTTTGACGGTTGTTCCTATCTTCGTAGAACATTGAATTTTTGACGGATAAAAGCCTTCATTTAAGCGAGATTTTGACTTAATCACGAACCCGTTGTTACAAAGAACCTACAATGTTTATACTTATATTCGTAACCTAACAAAAACCTGACAAATGTATATGTAGAAAGCAAGGCACGTTATACTTACGTCTGTGGGAGTCGTTTGCAGCATCAGTAGCGCCACGTCTATCAGACAAACCGCTCCCGCCCAACCACTCACTATAACACACTGTACATCAACTGTCAGCCTCTGACACGAGGATATAGCATCCGGCTGTACGACAAGGTGTCAGACGGACAGGGTAGGTGTAATCACACCACCAAGATGCAGTACCCTATACACTACCTGTTAACCAACGACGCACAGCGAAGAGCTGACCGTCAAAGTGATTCTCAACATATAGCCAAACATTAACGTGACAGCTACGTGTCGACAATTCTTCAAGTATTGTTCACTACATTATCAACATGTTGTTAATAACAAAAGTGTTTCCAAAGAAAGGTGTCCATGTGTTCGTATGAGTATTTCGGTAATAGCTGGTTCAGTAATTGATTAAATCGTCTTTATATATGTCGCACCACGCCACTCAATTGCAAAGCTGTAGTCCGTTTGGGTAGCTATCAGAAATATAGTCCAGTGAAGTTGTTAGTGTACCTTTCACTTGTCATAACATTAACCAGTGTCAGTACCGGGGAGATGAGATCGAGTTAAGTTATCCTGAGAGAGCCAGTGTTCTTCGATGCGGTTAAAACGCTCACTTTTCTACACTAAGAGGCCCTTTTTACGCCATCAGTACACCACTCAATCCGTTTATCAAGGTCCCAAAGGTTACTGGAGTCCCGACTGGGAACGAAGTGCCTGTTTTGCTAACTGATGAAAACTGACTAATGGCATCCTAACCATGGCGTGAACGTGTATATTCCATTACAGCAAACCCATACTTGATTCCTGTGATAAAAACTGACAACTCTTGGCCTTTTCCACATCATCAGCTGAGCGCTGGAAACAGGACTATGTACATGGTGAGGAGAATTCCGGATACCAAGTCTCGTATCCATCCATTGTTTATGTGAATTGTGTGATACAGAGAGCAGATGATGCTTGCAGTGACGTCACAGTGGCTGAGATAGATGACTTATATGTAATTAGGAATAACAAACAATATTTAACTGAAAGTCGACAGTGGTGTACATTAGACTCCCACAATAATCAATGACAAGCACCGTATATGCACGTTACGTTGTAAAATCGCGGAGGGCCGCGAACCCAGGCTGCCTGTTGATATAGATCTCGTGCTGCCGGTCGTACACACACATAACACACTATTTGTTCATGCCATATTTTATTGCCTGATTTTGTATTCTAGTAGAGAGATGAAAACAAACAGACAGGGTAAGAAAAGTGTTTTAATCACAAAGGCAATGAATTAAATGTACACTGATTCAAAAACATGTTTTGAACTATACAAATAACAAATTGAAATAGATAACGTAAAAAGAATCAGTGTTATCGTAGTTTTATGATTATTTATTAACAAAGTTTTCAGTTAACTTGTGTAATTGATATTTCAGTCCCTACATCCATATACTGTACACCGGGGAATTTTTACCGCCGTTTAATTTTCGCCTTTTTCACCGTTCATAATTAAAGCGAATGATCACCAATATTAGTACACAACATACCAAACATAATGATTTATATTGTAGGGAAAAAAATACTAGTCGAATGTGGATCGGTGAAGGGCGAACATTCCCTGATTTACAGTGTTTCAGGGTTGTACCTTTGTGTAAGTGTATATCTAACCTATGGCGTGATATGGCATATTGACCCGTTGCTACAATGTAACCGTATGCAAACAACGTTACACACAGCGACAGAAGAAAGTTTCTAGTAATCGCTGTAGTGAAATCTTTATCGGGGTCGAGAGGTCGATATATAACCCGGTCACAATCTAGACTACTTAACTTCTAATTGATATCACTTTTGTCTGTAAATTATTTATTTTAATCGGATATTAAGATCACCCCTCCTGACACTATATATATCATCAACAGTGAATGTGTGTCATAGCGTTTGTTACTCAGACTACTGACTAGACAGGTCAACTAGAGTGTCGAGATCAATTAGGTCTAAAATGACGGATGGAATATCCGAACAACTCCTAGATTACCCTTCACTGTAGTGCGAAATTCTAATATTTGTGAGCTACATGTATGTACCATCGTTCACTAATTATCAATTAACACAATTTACATAGTTACACACGCTAGGGAGGTTTGCGTTGATAGTTTAACTGAAGTTTGATTTGTGTGTTAAGAACAAATCCTTAAGAAATGCTATTCTGTGTGACATTGCACAGGTTAGAGAAACTAGGCATGTTTTTGTTTATGTTTAAAAACAAATTACTATGCCATACTTTGTGTGATTATCCATCCAATTGATTCCAGATAAAACGGTGCTGGTTGTTTTGGAATCGGCGAACAGTTAAACACCATAGCGTCATTAAGAATCAAAGACAATGTTTCGTAAAAGTTATCTTTTTGTTACAAAATCTGTATTGATTTACCAATTCCGACAGGCGACATTAGCAAGGAAATAACAAATATCGAATATAGGATAGCTGAAATGAACATTCTGTGTAATTATCCCGTGGCTTTTAGGCATTGGTCATTAACTGCTTCACAAAAACGTGACTGAACACATTTGTATTCATATAAAGTGCATTACTTTTTTCAATATCTATGTGAAAAAATTGTTAATTAAATATTAGTGTACCATAGTATGTCAATATGAGTATGTTATTCAACTTTAATTTGAGGTCATGTGATAATTAGGAAAGCTCGATGAACTATTTATCTAAGCCAAACGCAGAACTGAGTTGATAATGACAGTTCCTATGTTTCTTATGTGGTTGAATTATAATGGACGCAGTATTTATGATGGAACTACTATTAGTAGCGGTAGCGTTATTTTTATGAAACAGTATATTGATTAATTTATATATTTTCTGTTTTGAAATATGTACAGGAGAATATCGCGGTGTCAGGAAAAACGATAGATACAAACAAAGGAAATACTTCAAAGGGGCCTATGAAAACGTATCGGGATAATTGACCAGGTGTTTCGGAGGGGTAAGCGTCTTCTGCTTAATCGACCACCCCCGCCATGTCAATCTCGATCAATCCAAAGTAATGTTACGTCCTCACACAAAGAACTCCTGTAGTCACAATAAAACCACAAAGGTACACTAATGGGTATAATCGATACTGACGACATTCATGTCACATAAAGAAATAACACATTTCTCTATAAGATCATGACGGCGACCATGAAACGTGCCCATAGTGTTCATCGACCTACATTTCTGGAAACCATGTGTTGTAAGTTTGTGTGTCAGCAGTCGACATCTATCACGGAAACCCTGCGTTGTAAGTTTGTCCGTCAACAGTCGACATCTATCACGGAAACCCTGTGATGTAATTTTGTCCGTCAGCAGTCGACATCTATCACGGAAACCCTGTGATGTAAGTTTGTCCGTCAGCAGTCGACATATATCACGGAAACCCTGTGTTGTACGTTTGTCCTTCAGCAGTCGACTATGGCAAGCCAAGTTGTCATTTATTCATGGAGCAATGTTGATCCAGTACTTAACCAAATTATATAAGATATCTCATATATTATATAAGATATCTTATATATTATATAAGATATCTTATAAACATATAAGATATCTTATAAACATAAAAGATATCTTATTTTAAGTTTCTGAGATATCTTATATCTTTTATAAGATATCTTATATACTTTATAAGATATCTTGTAAAAGATATAAGATATCTTATAAAAGATATAAGATATCTCATAAACTTTTCTTTATAAGATATCTTATATCTTTTATAAGATATCTTATATAATATATAAGATATCTTATATCTTTTATAAGATATCTCAATTAATTTTCTTTATAAGATATCTTATATATTATATAAGATATCTCATAAAAGATATAAGATATCTTATAAAGAAAAGTTTATGAGATATCTTATAAAGAACGAGACTCTCGCGAGACCGACAAAGAAGAAATGTTTGAAAATGACTGCTCCCGTTGTACTTAGATCACGAGTCCGATAAACGGGAGCTGTGTAAAACTAGCTTATTTTTCAACAGGAAGTATAACTAACACCAATATAGAATTTTAGTTGATATATTCAAATATTAATTATTATATTTACGCATACATTTTAAAATATTAGTGTTAGGAATCACACATTAATATATTCTAAAATGGCTGGAATAATCCAGAGTTATAAACTTTTCCGAAAGAAACTCGAGTGTTCTAAAGAGCCATTGAGAACTTAGAAAATGTCTGTGAAGTTGCTACATGTTTATTTATTCAAATGACAATTTAGTTTCGTTGGCCTAAAATCCAAAGGTTTAGATATAGTTCTTATTAGTGAGAATCACTGTCATTTATTAATCTGTTGTACGTCATTTTCAACCAGAATGAGACAAATGAAAGTAGTTTGCTGAGGATTTATTTAGTGACGGTGTTATGATGCCAAACTCGGTAAGAGCGCAGAAATATTGTCATAATCAGTCGCCACATACTCAAATATAAAGTGAGATTTTAAAATTCATCTTGATTTATGTTATTTTTCGTACACAACCTCGTTGAAGAATTATAGTTTGGTTTGATTTGGGGAGGGGGAGGGGTTTGGTTTATATTATTAATTAGGTCTTGTTTTATAGTTGATGTCAGAAAGCTGAGTTAGTTGATTCAACATTTATCATTCACATCACTTGTCTTCTTTGTTGTAAGCAAAATTTATTGATTTCTGCTGATTATCCTGTGTTATAAATTCATGGTTTAAAGTTTGTGTTCATGTATTTTGTTAGTTAACAGGTAAAGGACATGTACAACTGTTCAGTGTTCTTCCATATATATGTATGTATAGCAGGGAATTTTGCCCCTCCCCAGGGAGGAATTGGTACCCAAGGGGTTGTGAAATTCACATTTTGATTAAGCACATCAGAATATTTCCATCCATCAGAAGGTTTTCAACATATCTGGATCTGGAAGTAGACAATTATTGTTTGAGCTATTTTGGCCCCTTTTGGCTCCTCTTCTGAGGCCCTTAGCGTCCACATGATCACAACTCCAACCAAGTATGAATTTGTTACTACTGAAAGTGGATAAAACAGATCTTGAAAAGTCTTATTTCCATAAACTATAGCAAAATGTATCCCCTCCCAAAGAGTAAAAGGGCGACAATTGATAAAAAAACCTTAAGATATATACCTCATATACATCAGGTATATACCTTCTATACATCATGTATACATCTCCTATAGGTCAGGTATACACCTTCCATGCATCAGGTATATATACCTTCTATACATCAGGTACATGTATACACCTCATATAGGTCAGGTATATATACGCCTTCCATGCATCAGGTATATATATACCTTCTATACATCAGATTACACCTATACATCAAGTACATCTTGTATGCATGCACATGTACATGAGGTATATGTAAGGTCCATATTCTCTGTAGGTAAGGTACCTCATCTTTATAATAGTTGTCCGATTGGGTCATATTGATTACGTGCACAGGAAATATAACATGTTGTTTGCTTGTGCAGGAGTTTCCCAATTATGTTCCCTTATTGTGGCCTCTCTAGAACAAGAAGCACAGGCACGTGCACATTATCAATAGCTCACCTGGAATAATATTTTTCATTAAAAGTTGTTGATTACCTCTTACCATACAGGAAATATCAGCTTGGGGATCTCAACAATTTCCATGTTATGACTGAAGGAGTAAGTCCTCAGGGGTGGGGTGGGCTCCATTAAGGACTATCTTGGTATCATGAGTGTTTTTCCTCTGCATGCCCAGCAGCATATGGATGGGATCTTTACTGATTTCATGTAAAATTTGGGGACTATAAGCCCCATGTGGCAGGGCAGGACCCTGGCGCCAATCATGTAAGCATGGATGTATTCAGATGGTTACATGGTGGGGGATCTTAATTATCTTTACACCCAAACTTCATCTATTGGCACCCAAATGCTCTGGCCCGGTGACTGCTTTGCCTCTGTTTTTTTCAGACCTGAGATATGCTACAATTACAAGTTTTTGAAGATGAAATGTCTTATTTTCCTCTTTACCGGAAAACATACCATGTATATACTTTGTATC